TCAATTCACCTCAACAACTCCTTCCTCAACTCACTCCTCACTGATCCTTTGTGGTATTCCCACACTTGATCCCTTCTTTATCACTTATCCTTTTTACCACTTGTGGTATCCCCACACTTGGTCTCCTCTACACCCTTATCTCCAACAAGCCTGAACCATCCTTCCACCAATCCTTCCATCTCAGAGAGCAGTTGGTATCCCCAGCTGGCCCCCTCTCACACCAGGCGTCCCAGAACAGCCCAAAGAAGTCAGTCTTCTTTACTGGCACTAAGCCTTGGTGCTTGAACAGTCTTTCTCCAAGCTTCTTAGAGTATACCGTACTGAGTGGCTTAAACATCACCACATCGAGCGGTTGGAGCGTATGAGTACTGTGAGGTGGGTACACAGCCAATAGAATCTTGTGCCTATGGCAATACTCCAGAAACTCCTCGGTTAGGTGACTCCCATGGCCATCTACAAGTAACAGCCGGTACTTTCTTCGAGCTTTCTTGCTTGTGAAGCGCTGAAAAACCTGTTGAAGCCAGGCTATCCCAAGACTGTCGTTTGACCAGCCGCTCTGAGATACTCCGAAGAAGGCCATGTGTACTCCCACCTTCACATCCTCTACCCAGACGTTCTGGATGTTCTCTGAGTCTGCCGCGTAGATAAGAGCTGGTGGGATGAATGTACCATCGGCACAACAGCAAGCTAACAAGCTTATCCACTCGCGATTACCGTCTTGGAGCTGCTGCCTGTACTGCTTCTTCTTGAAAAGCCTCTTGCTGAAGATCCTCTTCTGTTTGCCAATTGCTCCAATCATGAAGCCCTTCTCATCCATATTGTATGTATTCTCCGGCTCAATGTTGTAGTACTTGATTTTCTCGCTCAGCAAGTCAAAGTACTTCTGGTACTTATCGTGAGAATTGGCGGCGTGGCGCTGGCGGTCCATTGACGTACTCCATTGAGGTGTAAGCTCATTGCCGCGGCGTTGAACCATCCGGTCTACCCAGCTCATTGAGACGCGCTCTCCAGCTATATCGGACGCAAAGTTTTGCACCATCTCTCTTGTAGGTGGCAAGTGAGCCTCTGTAAGCTTGTCTATGTAATCAACAAGCTTATCCTCTGCCTGTGGTGGTATCTTTCGACGTGCTAAACCAGCTTCTTCATGCGACGTTGTTTGGCCACGGTACTTGCGCGTCAAAGTTGACCGAACAACACCATGCTTATCAGCAGTTTTTTGCCAGGGAATATCATCTTCGCATTCGTAACTATTGCACTCTTCAAGAGCTTCTTTTAATCCTGTCATGGCGTTGAGTTATTGCGTTGAGAAAATGGGGTGTTAAACGTGTTCTGCGCATTCAGTGATGTTGCGCATTGACTGCCGAGACACGGTACCGTAGTTAGTCAGCACATGCGCGCCATCACCAGATGCGCCGAAGCCCCCCAAGCAGCTTATACAGAATTGAGGCTGTAGAGCCATGTACAATAGCTATTATCAC